GGAGACTTTAATGCAAAAATCGGAAGGGAGAATATCTTTGGTCCCACCGTCGAAAAATTCAGCCTCCACGAAGAAACATCCCACAACGGCATGAGGTTGATTAACTTCGCGGCAGCAAAAAACATGGTAGTTAGCAGCACCAGACTCAAGCTTCTCGATACACACAAGGCCACCTGGATTTCTCCCGATCGAACAACGAGAAATCAAATCGATCATGTCGTGATAGTCGGAAGGCATGCATTCAGTGTTTTAGACGGGGAGCGAATATCGATTCGGACCTTTAACTTGTGACAGCCAGGTACGCACCCGTCTTAAGGGAGATTTTAAATGGGCTGGTAACTCAATACCAATGCTTGTTAAGGTTCGTAACTTTGCACATATCGACGCCTCTGAACCATAGTATGCTAAGTCTGAAAAGTTAGTTTTTCAGTAGAAGCTTTCAAAGTATGGAAGTTTCTTTAATCGTACGTGCCATGCTATGTACATTTTTGCTTATAACTTTGGTTTGGATTGGCCGATGATTACCAAAATTCCAGTGAATTTATATTAAGGACCGTAGTATCTAAAAACGCAAAAAACTTTAAAACATGCTAAGTCGACTTAGCATACTATGGTTCGGAGGCGTCGATATACATTTGAAGATTTAAAAGAGAAGAAAAATAATGTACACATTTTTTTTAATTAAAGAAAAGTTCTTATTTTTGATGGCGGGCATGATAACTCCTCACTTTCGCACTAAAATTAACAAAATGGCGGGCCTTTCAAAAAATATTTTTGGAAAATCGCAGATTTTTGACCAAAAACCAAGTTAAAAAATTAGGAAGATCTTCACCGTTTGTCTTTATCCTAGTTCATACGATAGCTATACACTCTCAGAGAAACGTGTAAAAATTTTTGAATCGATTGGGTTATTAGTTTTTAAGTTGTCGTGCCCGCCATTCGCAAAACAAATGTTTAGAGGTAAACTAGGGATAAGTAAATCGACTTTCGACTAATCGATTAATCGACTTTTTGTATTGAAAAGTCTAAAAGTCGAAGTCGACTTTTGATCTATGAGGAAATCGTAAAGTCGACTTTTCAAGATCGAATTTCGATTTTCTTCATAAATACTTGGTTTTTTATCACAAAGCTCAAATTGCCCAAAAATGTTACATTCCGGAACTTAACATTATCTGTTAACAATAATTCATATCAAAAATCAAATTTTTAGTCGATTTTGCAAAAGTCAGTAAAAGTCGAAAATCGATTTTGAATAGTTTTGACAAAATCGAAAGATCGAAAAGTCGACTTTTTAGTCAAAGGCAAAAATCGAAAAGTCTAAAAATCGACTTTTTGGTCAGAGGCAAAAATCGAAAAGTCTAAAAGTCGACTTTTGCGCTCGACTACGTATCCCTAAGGTAAACCCGTTTAAAGTTTGAGAAGCCCTTCAGCCGTCACTTGATGCTGACACAATAAATCGGCTAAATCTTCAAGAGTTCTTGAGATTCTCACTTGAAATTTTTTTAGGGATATTCTTGGGGGTCCCCTTAATGTAGCAGCAAAGGTGCGATTTAATGTAACACGGAAATTTGACGTCGAAAAGCTGCAAACACAACAGATAGCAGAAGCCTACTCCGCTCAACTTACCCAACTGCTTGGCGAAAGCAACCCTTGTCCCGATAATAATATAGAAGCACAATGGCAGATAATTGGTAGTACTGTGTACTAAATTTGATACATTTTCAATTGTGAATGAACCGATAGAGTTGGAATTCTGAAACATGGATTTAGGATAACTGTGGGGATGTGGGTTTGGGTTAAGTAGGAAATATTGGAAATTCATACTATTGTGTACGAAATTTGGTACAATTTAAATTGTGGGTGAACCGATTTGAAATCCTGAAAATTTAATTTGGAATCATTGTGAGGGTTTAGGATCGGGGACAATTTTGTTGGATGGTTGAGGAGGGTACTCTTGGAAATAATGGGTGCTAAATTTGGTACAAATTTGAATTTGTGTGAACCTGTACAGCTCGAATCATGAATTTTTTAATACATGCCTTTTGTAGTACCTTAAAAAAATATTTTTTAAAAAATTATTTAAAAATTTATTTTTTAATTTTATTTAAGCAATAATTATTATTCTCTGTACTTTCTATGACATTCACAAATATTGAATAATTTCTCTCTGACACTCTGGTTACACATCTCAGTCATTATCTTGCAATCCTCCCACGAGCAATTAGCATTAATAAAGAAATGACAAATAAAAAAAAAAAAAAAAAAGAAGAAGAAGAATAGTCTTCTAATTATCACATAATAGCCTATGAAAAAATGAAAAAAAAAGACGATGAAGAGAGAAAGAAAATAGGCTTGTGCGTGTTTGCATTTCATAGTCAATAGTTTTTTTTCACTGGAAGTGACAGCACACAAAAATATATATTACGTTTTCGGATTTAATCATTTTATGAGTGTTTAAATATAACAGATATAAAACGACAACAACAAAAAAACCTTATCGTTGTTGTTGTAAAGTGTACTGTGAGTTGGTGTAAGAAAAAAAAGAAACAAGCGGCCCGTTTGTTGTAGCTCAGCTCTACCCCACTCGTTGTGTGACAATAAATAATTTTTGTGTCAACAAATAAAAAAACACAAATAGACATGAACACTTTTCCTAACAGAGATTAGAAGCAGCAATTGTGTTGATACATTTTTTATTGCAGAATAGTGATAATTGCAATTTTTTAACTAACAATGTTTTGTGTAGACATTTGTGAAAGCGGACAGCCTTCCTTTGATTTCAAAATATGATTTTTTTATTAATTTTTTTTTGTCTTTCGATGATAGAAGTTTAATATTGCATCATAAATAGTAGCTTACCAATGATATGACACTTTATGTGTAATTCTAGCACTTGAAATATAAATAAACAATAGCTAAGGAATACTAATTTTAAATTCCGAAATTCTCAGAAATTTTGTTTTACTAAAAATCCCCGAATATTGGGAATTTTAAAAATTAATAATTTCAGCTGGCTTTTCGTTGTCTTTATATTTAAAGTTGGATGACTAGCTATAAGACTGAAAATAAAAGTCATTGAACCGATTAAATGTTGCTATTTTTAAATTTCAATGAATGAAACCGGTTCAATTGATCTATGCAATTAATTGCATACGAAAGTTAATCTATATATATATATATATATACATATGTATGATTAAAAATACCACGTCTTCTAATGATTCTTAACATTTTTATACCCTTCACCACACTGTGGTACAGGGTATTATGTCTCTGTGCATATGTTTATAACAGACAAATGAAAACGAGAATCACTTTTTAAGTCGCTTTATGCATGTCAGCCTATCCGTCCGTCTGTCCGACCGACCGTCCATGTATTTTTGTGAACAAAGCACAGGTCGTATTTATTATCCGATTTGGATGAAATTTGGCATAGGTCACTTATTTGGCCCAAGGACAAACCCTATTGAAACTGAAACAAATCGGTTCAGATTTAGATATAGCTCCCATATATATTTTCGACCCATTTAAGGTAAATGGTGCACCAAAGTCCCTATATATCCATCGATTTGCACGAAAGTTGGCATAGCGTACTGAATAAGGTATAGAACGATGTGTGTTAAATTTCGTGAAAAGCTGTTCAGATTTAGATATAGCTCCCATATATATTTTCGTCCGATTTAAGGTAAATAGTGCACCAAAGACCCTATATATCCATTGATTTGCACGAAAGTTGGCATAGCGTACTGAATTGAGTATAGAATGATGAGTGGCGAGTTTCGTGAAAATCGGTTCAGATTTAGATATATCTCCCATATATATGTTCGTCCGATTTATGTAAATGTGTGTTAAGCTTCGTGAAAATCGATTCAGATTTTGATATAGCTCGCATATATATTTTCGTCCGATTTTATGTAAATGGTGCACTAAAGCCCTTATAAATCGTCCGATTGGCACGAAATTTTTCAAAACGGTCTGAATTAAGTCTCGAATGATGTGTATTAAGTTTTAGAAAAATGTTCCCAATACCCTCTTGTATGTACCCATAGTTGTTAAGGGTATCATATAGTCGGCCCCGTCCGACTTTTGAACTTTCCTTACTGGTTTATTATTATAAAATATTATTAAGCAAAATCCACGCCTCTTGTATTACCTTAAAAAATCCACGTATCTTGTAGTACCTTAAAATATCCACGCCTCTTCTATTCTTACAAGTTTTTTAATATCCTTAAAATACATTTTTTTAAATCCACCCCTGTTCTATCCACTCCTCTTGTCGTACCTTAAAAAATCCACGTCTCTTGTAGTACCTTAAAAAATCCACGCCTCTTGTAGTACCTTAAAAAATCCACGCCTCTTGTAGTACCTTAAAAAATCCACGCCTCTTGTAGTACCTTAAAAAATCCACGCCTCTTGTAGTACCTTAAAAAATCCACGCCTCTTGTAGTACCTTAAAAAATCCACGCCTCTTGTAGTACCTTAAAAAATCCACGCCTCTTGTAGTACCTTAAAAAAATCCACGCCTCTTGTAGTACCTTAAAAAAATCCACGCCTCTTGTAGTACCTTAAAAAATCCACGCCTCTTGTAGTACCTTAAAAAAATCCACGCCTCTTGTAGTAGCTTAACAAATCCACGCCTCTTGAAGTACCCAATATTTTTTGTAAAAAATCCACGCCTCTTGAAGTACCCAATATTTTTTGTAAAAAATCCACGCCTCTTGAAGTACCCAATATTTTTTGTAAAAAATCCATACCTCAAAAATATTTTTTTAAAAAACCCAGACCTTGGGTAGATCATTAAAAAATGTTTTTTTTTAATCCATCTGAGGATCCTTAAAATTTTTCTTGAAACCCATTTTTTTAATATCTCAGCATCCTTTAGCGAATTCTCTTAAAAAATCCAATTTAAAAAATTAATTATATTTTTATTTCAATAAAACAAAAATAAATATCACAAAATGCTTTTCTTTTCTATATTTCTAAGCCACAAGTTTTTTTTTCTAAATCGAACTACAAGCCTGCTTACCGGGACCAAAACACCCAGCAAAGGCCATTAAATGTGGCAAGGTACTCTGTTCATAGACACCACTGAATAAATCGGACCATGGTCCCGATGCATATACTGGGGCATCTTCGGCACTATGCGTTTCCGATTCCATGGGTACCGTTGCTGGAAATTGCATATCCATATCGACATCCGAATCTTCAATTTGATTTGTGGGATCATAGCGGCCACCCAACTTTGTGTTGTAATATTCGCTAAAACTCGGACCATTGGCATAGCTAAGCGTTAGATATGGCACTTGGTTTGAATCCAGAGAGGCATAGCCGAAAATGTCATTTTTGCGTTGCTAAGGAGGGAAATACATCAGTAAAAAATTTGGTGTCAATTGTGGATTTTGGTCTGTGAAACTTACCGCATAACCCGAAATACTCATGGTATGCGAATGATCGGAGGCCACCACAATGAGGGTATCCTTTTCATTGGTAATCGATCTGGCCAAGGCAACAGCTTCACTTAGTTGAGCCGTTTCATCCAGGGCCAATATTGCCTTGTTGTTGTGATGAGCCGTATCAATACGTCCCGCCTCAATAAAAAGGAAATAACCCTCATCTCCCTGCTTCAGGATTTCAATGGCCTTTTGGGTCATTTCAGTAAGGGTGGGTTGTTTATTTTTCTTCGAATCCTGGGCCTTTAGATTATATTTCATGTGACCATCATTGAAGAGGCCCAATAAACGTTGTGTTCCAGAAGCCTCAGCGGCCATTAATTCATCACGGGTCTCGACAAAAATATTTTGAGGATTTTCCTTTTGAAACTCCTTAATTAAATTACGTTGATCCCGACGTTTGCCGTCGTCGTGATAGTCTTTATCAAGAAATTGTGACTTACCACCACCAAGTATCACCTTGAAACGGCTGCCCACCTCACCCTCCATTAGCTGTAGGGCAATATCGGGGATGCCAGAGTTTTTACCACAGCTGTTTTTCAAATTTTTATCATTTTCCCAATCACGATCGGCCACATGGGCATAGAGGCCGGCAGGAGAGGCATGTGTGACACGTGTGGTGGTTACCAGGCCCACTTGGCGACCACTATCCAAAGCCCATTTTGCAATGGAATCCACATGATAACTGGTATTTTTCGAAGCCTCACAATGACCTCTCTGTACCCGGGCGGTGACCCCCATGGTACCATAATTTGCCTTGACACCACACAACAAAGCAGTGGCAGCTGAGGCGGAGTCCGTGACCAGACGATCCACAGCATAGGTTTTCATAAGACCCACATCCGGGAATGATTCAAAAGACAGTTCCTGTTCCTCACCCCCCAAGTAGACCCGGGTGGCAGAGAGGGTAGACAGCGACATACCATCTCCCAAAAAGAAAATAATATTTTTAGCTTTACCACGTTGAGGTATCCCAGCACTGGCATCCTTATAGGCCACAAAACGTTTGCCCTTATCCAACCAATAATCTGAGGTAACTTCTCCGGGTATCGAACGGCGGCGTATTGAACGATGATCTTCTTTTATGTTTGGGTGCATCAAAACCTCGCGACAATCTTCATCATCGTCGGCACACTGCAATGACCAAACGCCCCTCAGGCACTGGAGTAAGGCGAAGAGAATTAAAATCTGACTGCTTCGTGGCGACAACATTTTGTGAGAAACACTTTATCTCAACTAAATGCGAACTGGTCGTAGTGGCTAGCTTTTATAAGCAAATAAAAAAATATTTTTATTTTTGTTGTGATTTTTGTTTTTTTTTTTTATTTCGTTGACTTGCAGTTTTTTGTTTTTGTTGATTTTTTTATCAGCTCTCTCTCAGTTCGATTATTTGAATTCAATATCTCGTGTCTGGCTATCACACAACACGTTTATACCCACTCTGCAAGCAAAGTGTTTATTTTTGTTAATTTATTGCCGATTTTTGATTGATTTTTATTAGCCACCATTGTCACCCAATTCTCCCACTAATCGCTATAAAACACATGCCTTAGCTGCTTCTGCCCGGCCATAAATCTCAACATGACTCTCCATTTTCTCAACAACCATAAATTTCTTATTTACCAACCAACAAAAAAATCCCACACCTCCATAATTTCTCCTGCCAGTAGTTAGACCTACCGGCCAGCATGTGCCAATAATCATCGAATTTAATATTTATTACCTAGCCACCTCACCGAGTAGCGTGACATTCACGTGCACTGAACATTTCTTTTTTTTTTTTTTGGCCATTACTAGTTGCTAGTATCGCACAAAGTTCGAACAAACTTCGTGGTCGATATGTTTATGGGTGTGGGTGTGCGTGTTGTTATTTAATATTTAGGGTGACCATATTCAAGTACAAGGTGATTGCCTAATGGCAACAATTTGTTTATGGTAAAAAAAATTAATGGAAGTAACAGAAATGTATTTACATAATTAAATGCAATAAACAGAGAGAGAGAAAGAGAGTGGGAGAGAAAGGAAAGAGTGTAAGAAAAAAAGTGAAATTTTCGGATATTACTTTTCAGTAAACAAAAGAGCTAAAAGCGGGGATTTTTCAGTCAAAAATCCAACAAGAGAGGATTTTTTGAAAATACTTTTTGAAAAAACTCCAAGAGCCGCGGAATTTTAAATATATTCTTCAAAGACATTCAACAGGCGTAGAATTTAAAAAAACTATTTTTTTAGAGAACTCCAACAGTTGTTAAATTTTTCAGAATATTTTTTCAGGCGCAGGCGTGGATTGTTTAAAAATCTAGCAGGCGTCGTTGGATTTTTTAAATATTTTTTTAACGTCCAGAATTAGTCGTGAATTTTAATGCAAAAATCGCAAGGGAAAATATCTTTGGCCCCACCGTCGGAAAATTCAGCCTTCATGAAGAAACATTCGACAACGGCATGAGGTTGATTGACTTCGCGGCAGCAAGAAACATGGTAGTTAGCAGCACCAGATTCATCTTGAAATACACAAGGCCACCTGGATTTCTCCTGATCAAGCAACGAGAAATCAAATTGATCATGTTGTGATAGACAGAAGGCATTTATACAGTGTATTAGACGTTCAATCGATCCGAGGAACGAATATCGATTCGGACCACTGCCTTTTAGGAGCCAAGGTTCGCACTCGTCTTAATGTAGCAGCAAAGGTGCGATCTAACACAACACGGAAACTCGACGTCGAAAAGCTGCAAACACAACAGGTAGCCGAAGCCTACTGCGCTCAAATTACCCACCTGCTTGACGAAAGCACTTCTTGTCCCGATAATAGTATAGAACAAACAATGGCAAAGAATTGCCCACTACCTACAAACTGCAGCAAAAGCAACATTTGGGTACCAAAGACCACCATCAAGAAACCCATGGTACGATTAGGAGCGTCGTAATGCTACTGATGTGAAAAACGCAGCGTATAGGGCAACCCTGTGGACAGTAGCAAAACGCAATGTGATGGAGAATTATCGGAAGAAAAGGAGAATCAGAAAAAAGAAGAAAGAACAAGAAAAACGTGAGCCTGAGCAAATCGAGATGTACAGGAGTCAGAATGAAGTTCGGAAATTTTACCAACGAGTAAAACACCAAACCGAAGGTTTTGGTGCGGGCACATTCTCCTGTAGAGATGATGAAGGAAACCTGGTTACAGAAACAGACAGCGTGCTGAGAATCTGGAAGGAGCATTTTGAAAAGTTTAATGTATCAAATAGTGGCGGTTAAAAAGATACCCCCGAACCAATAAGAGATGATGGTATAGAGTGTATACCACCTAGCCAAGATGATGTCAGAATAGCAATCAATCGGCTGAAGAATAATCAAGCAGCAGGATCTGACGGATTACCAGCCGAACTATTCAAGACTGGTGGTCAGATGCTGGTCAGGAGCATGCATCAGCTGATTAGTACAATTTGGCTAGAGGAATGCATGCCCAATGATTGGAACCTCAGCATCATGTGTTCCGTGCACAAAAAAGGAGACAAGACGATATGTGCCAACTATAGAGGAATTAGCCTTCTTCCCATCGCATAGAAAGTGCTATCCAGTGTGCTGTGTGAATGATTGAAGCCAATGGTCAATGACATCACTGGCCCATACCAATGCGGCTTCAGACCTGGACCAGATTTTCACTCTGCACCAATTCCTGGAAAAGACCCACGAAAAACACATCGACACATACCACGTATTTGTCGACTATAAAGCCACATTCGACGGCCCTATCCGTTCAGAGCTGTATAAAGCCATGTCTGCGTTTGACATTCCTGCAAAATTAATTCGGTTATGCAGGATAACTTTAACAGGCACAAGATCAGCAGTTAAAGTCGGAAAGGACCAACGGAGCCCTTTAATACCGAACGAGTATTCAGACAAGGTGACAGTTTGACGTGTGACCTTTTTAACATCTAGTAGGTCATGCGAGATGCAAAGGTGAACAGAAATGGCACTCTGTACACCAAACAACACATGTTACTCGCATACGCCGATGAAATCGATATAATGGCTCGAACATTGCGAGCGGTAACAGCCACCTTTGAACAAATGGTGAAGGAGTCTGCCAAAGTGGGTCCGGGACAGTAAACGGCGAGAAGGCCATGCTGAGTGTATCAACGCGCAAGACGTCCAGTAGACTCGGACCAACTGTGGAACTTAAGAACTACAGCTTCGAGGTAGTTAAAGATTTTATATACCTCGATACCGCCATAAATAAAACGAATGACATCAGTTTTGAAATTCGGAGAAGGATTGTGATGGCCAACAGATGCTACTATGGTCTAAGTAAGCAGTTTAGAAACAAGGCGGGATACCAAACTCACACTTTACAAGACGCTGATACTACCCGTGCTCTTATATGGATCTGAAGCATGGGTACTTACGCAAGCAGATGAGGCAGCTCTTGGAGTGTTTGAGAGAAAAATTCTCCGAAAGATCTATGGGCCAATCTGCGTTGACGGTGAATATCGCGAGTCGAATGAACCATGAGTTTTACCAGCTATTCGCGGACATCAACATTGTTAGACGTATTGAGCTGCAGCGGCGACTACGTTGGCTAGGTCATGTTGTGAGAATGGATGTAGATGCCCCAGGCCAGAAAGGCACATAAAAGCGAACCAGCTGATGGTTCGCGCAGAAGCGGAAGGCCAAGAATACGTTGGAAAAATCGAATCGAAAACAGTATCGCCGAAAATGGTCTTTCAAATTGGAAAAACGGCGCAAAAGACCGACGCGCCTGGAAATCTTTTCTAAGCTCGGCTTATGGAACGAACGTTCTGTCACAAGCCAGGTAAGTAAGTAATTTTCAAAAGGTCTATCAAGGGCGTGGATTTTTAAGAGACTATTTTTCAAAAGGTCTATCAAAGGCGCGGATTTTTAAAAGACTATTTTTCAAAAGTTCTATCAAAGGCGTGGATTTTTAAAAGACTATTTTTCAAAAGGTCTATCAAAGGCGTGGATTTTTAAGAGACTATTTTTCAAAAGGTCTATCAAAGGCGTGGATTTTTAAAAGACTATTTTTTAAAAAAAAAATTTTAAGGTGTACCAAAGGCGTGGATTTTTAAAATACTATTTTTCAAAAAAAAATTTTTAAGGTGTACCAAAGGCGTGGATTTTTAAAAGACTATTTTTCAAAAAAAAATTTTTAAGGTGTACCAAAGGCGTGATTTTTCAAAAATATGTTTTCAATGGCCTATCAAAGGTGTGGGTTTTCAAAAATATGTTTTCAAGGGTCTATCAAAGGCGTGGTTTATCAAAAATATGTTTTCAAGGGTCTATCAAAGGCGTGGGTTTTTCAGAAATATGTTTTCAAGGGTCTGTCAAAGGAGTGGACCTTTGAAAAACCACGCCGTAGATAGACCTTTGAAAAGCCACGCCTTTGATAGACCTTTGAAAATATAAATTTTAAAAAATCTGTGCTTATATATTATAAGTTTTTTTAATATTCCAACCTGGCCTCCCCAGTATATTCTTATTCCTGGAAATCTATTAATACATTTTTCACCCAAAAAAAATTATTAATAAACTGTAGTCTTTAGTATCTGGGGAACTACAAAATAAATCTCAAGTGATTTTACACAATTTTTTTTTTCAAATCAAAAACTCCGATAAGATTTTAGTTCTCCGATTATAGACAACTTAATGCATAACAATAACAATAAACAAAATCAATAATTATTTATGAAGCGTTTAGTGTCCACAAGTGATCGAACAAATTTGAAATGAACTGCAGCTACTGCTGAGTGAGGTGACCACCATTGTTTATAAAAACCTCTTCTCATGGCGGTAATTGAAATCAGTCGGTAATTAACGTTTAAAGCGGACAGGTGCGAATTGGCGAGAGAGAGACAATCCGCTAAGGTGTTTCGGCGGGTTTTATTTTGGTTTGTGACATAAAAGAAACTGGTTTCTGTTGTGAATGTGCAAATAAATAAAAAATAGACAACAACAAAAAATACAAAAATGCATTTGTTTATGTTGCTGACATTAGCAGCTCTGGCTGTGGGCAGTAGAATTGGTAAGGCAGTATAAAGTTCACAATTCTTTACTGAGAATCAGATTATTTATATATAAACAATTTTGAAATATTTTTTTTATTAATTTTGTCTATATATTTTTTAATCATTTTTAATATTTTTTATTTTTTTCCAGATGAAACCCATCCTCATCTAAATCACTTGAAATCAAATAAA